AATCGAACCCGGGTCTTCGGCGTGACGAGCGAACGCTTTAACCACTAGGCTACCCGACCGCCCCTCCTGACATGAACCCAAACATTTGTAGGATCATCTCGACAGGCAAGTCAGAAGGCGACCACTACCACCAGCCAGCCGTCGGGACTTCTCTCCGAGGAATAGCATCGGATTCCAGCTAACGTCATCAAGCGTTTGACGTCATCGGTGCGGATTAAGGAACGAGGTGGACATACTCAATATTAAACCTGTGACTTATGACTTACAAGTCTGTTGTAACCAGATGTTTTGACAATGACGATGTGAAAGATCTCATTTTGACCCCCATTATCTTTGTGTTCTTTTTACCCGTACGTTTCTGCTTTTATGGTTGGTTGTTTGGTTTGTTGGTTAACGCCGCACACAGCAATATTCCAGCTGTATGACGGCGGTCTGTAAATAATCAAGTCTGGACCAGACAATCCAGTTATTAATATCATGAGTATCGATCCACGCAATTGGGATACGATGACATGTTTCAACCGAGTCAGCGAGCCCGACCACCCGATCCCATTAGGCGCCTCTTACGACAAGCATAGTCGCCTTTTACGACAAGCACGGGTTGCTGAAGACCTATTCTACCCCGGATCTTCACGGAACTGCTTTTATGGAGTAAATTTTGTTCACATGATGCTAAAACGCCATCCTCAATACGTATATGTTTTCACTTCCAACATGCTTTAGATTTGCTTCAATCGACTCTCAAACTCAAATCAATTTATAAGTTTATAATGTTTGTCATTTCCAATGGAATTTGTTTCGGCAGTTTATGGAGACGTTTAGAATGTAGTATCAATGCAAGAGAATAACCAGTCTAGATTATCTACCGAAACAGATAAGACAAGATAGTGCTGGATGTAAAACATCTTTTCTATTTTCCTCAATATATAATACATTGTTTGTCTAGCTGTCCGTGAAACGATATCGATGTTCTGTCGATTAACCGATTAACCGCTTAGAGATCTCATCTCAGATCACGTGACACGTATGAGCCATGAGCGTGTCATCTGCCATAACCATATAGATAGTTGGTCTACATAATCCTCTTTGATGTCTTTATTGAAATTACCTACCAATACACATAAATACAGGAACGCTTATCACAACGCTTGCGTTGCCCAGCTCGACATGATCATGACGACCTTCACAGTAACCACGCTTCTCTGCATTGTGCACTGTGAGTACCAGACTCTATTATATACTTAAGTGTGAAAGATTGATTTTTCCAAAGTTGAGAAAAGGGATATTTTCATTGCAGTGAACATAACAATTGATGTTTCACTGCAGTTAACACAACACTTTGACGGAACTATTGTCATACAAGAGTGTCTGACCCGTACACAAACTGTTGACTTCCTTTTGAAGTTATTTCCACACCGACAAGGCACTCTAGTGACAGATAGTCATTTATGGAGTTAATATCGCTTCATGCTGTTTGTTATTCTCTTGAAAATGTTTCGTCATAAACTGTAAATTTCTCACTTCACTCAATCGGACTGTTCGTTTCGCAAAGGGCCATTTTTGTTACTTGAGCAGCGTGTATTTTTCGCTTTCAGCAGCGGTTCGGTAGTTTTTAAGTTTATTTTTTGTTAAAGTTGATTTTGTAGGATATTTCATGTGTCGGGGGAAATATGTTTCTCTTATCGCACTCAGCAATAGCAAGCACTAAGCCGGATAGCGTCAACCATGACCGTGCTGTAATGTACTAGTGCGCCACTTCGATCTTACGATTAGACAAGCTATGCATCGATTCGCCTTCGCTCGTTAGATACGTTTTAAAACTGTAAACTTGACCATGACGCCCAACAATAGCTGTGATGATAAATTAATGTGGACTTTTGAAGTTTCATATTTCAAAGACGTAACGTTTCAATATATGGATTTGTCTTTTTACTTACTTACTCATCGTATCAACGTTTATAGTCTATGATTACTTTTACATTAAGATCGAATAAAGAGTTTATAGTTTTTTGTGTTTTTTTATACGCTTAATATGTTTTCATTAACTGGAATTTTTATTGACAGTGGCCACTGCGCGAAGGGGCGACGGCGTCAGAGAGGCGAACGACTACATCAAGTCGCTCTGTCCAGATGTGATCGCCTGTAAACCGGCCTCGTTCACAGGACCCAACCCCATCATGCCTTGCGAGTACGTCAGAGTTACTAGTACATCCAAAATGTGTGTCAGTTCATTGACGTGCTAACTTTATTGCCGTTCACTTTAAGGCTAAACCTGCTGTGTCGTCAATTTAAAGGTTACACAGTTTCGATGTGTGTGTGTGTGTGTGTGTTCGTGTGTGTTCGTGTGTGTGTGTGTGTGTGTTCGTGTGTGTGTGTGTGTGTGTGTGTGTGTGTGTGTGTGTGTGTGTGTGTGTGTGTGTGTGTGTGTGTGTGTGTGTGTGTGTGTGTGTGTGTGTGTGTGTGTGTAATGCAGGTTTAAGAGTGATATCCCACTGAGATACCCTGTCACAGTTTAACATGGATACCCGGTCTAGTGGTAGAGCGTCCACCCGCCAGGCGGGAGGTCCGGGGTTTGGTCCCCGGCCGCGTCATACCAGAAGACGTTAAAAGACGGTACTTGTTGTTACTCTGCCTGGCGCTCGGCATTAAGGGGATAAAACAAGCACTGGTCGGCTCGGAGTCAGTGCACTGTGTATTCATGTTAAACTGCAGCAAAGTATCTCGGTGGGCAAGCACAATCATACACACACGTGTAAGCAGCACGTCGCTATATAAGTTCAGTAAACCCCATTTCACCTGACCGCGCCTAACATGGATACTCAACTCTGACACAGCATACTGTCTCCGAGACGACCAGTTGTTCTTTAAACCCCTTAAAGCCGAACGGTAGTAAGGTAATAAGTACATCTTTTTACATGTTTTGTTTTGATGCGGCCGGGGATCGAACAACCTTTCGCTCTCTGGACGGGCGCTCTGTCCACTACACCACGGATGCAGTCTCGTGCTGAAGCAGTTGCCTGCTTGTAAAATACTGGATGAATTTCCTCACTCACTCACTCAATATTGTCCAGACTAACACTGTCAGGCTTTCGCTCCATAATTTATTTACCGATGACAGGTGATACCATCACAAGAGGAATGCGGCGATCAACCTAAGGGTATAGTGAGTGAGTGAGTATGGTTTTACGCCGCTTTTAGAAATATTCCAGCAATATCACGGCGGGGGACACCAGAAATGGGCTTCACACATTGTACCCATGTCGGGAATCGAACCCGGGTCTTTGGCGTGACGAGCCAACGCTTTAACCACTAGGCTACCCGACCGCCCCTTTCCTGAGGGTATAACGACACAATCGATGACATTTATGATTAGACAAACAAGAATACATTTACCGCGGAAGCTTATATTTTTAGAATAGTACTTCTTTTATAGTCATTGTGGGTAGGCATGTTTAGATAATTATGTGTACAATTATTGGCTACAAAGTGCAAAGTTGCGGTTACTACAATGTTCAAAGGATGTGTAGCAACACATTGCTTGAGCATACAGAGCACCATATTCAGTTTAAAGGCTGTTGTAGGTGATTCCGTAAATTCTGATCGACAGCCTACTCAAAACCCTGGACTCTCTACCCGTGCCGATTCACTCAATACATTTGCTTACACCAAAGAGTTCGCGTTTTTCTAAGTTAGATCTGTTCCCAATTCAATTTAGCACGGTTAAAGATGCAGGTAACCTACCTCAAGAATGAAAATTAATATTTATCTTCTGATTTACAACAAGTTTTAAGCCAGGTAAGTATCATATTTACACACAATTGTTAATGCTAGTAAATATCATATATGTGGTACTTGTTTATGCTTGTGTGTATCATATTTACAGCAATTGTTTATGCTTGTAACCATCATACATGCGACAATTGTTTATGCTAGTAAATATCATATATGTGGTTCTTGTTTATGCTTGTGTGTATCATATTTACAGCAATTTTTTATGCTTGTAACCATCATACATGCGACAATTGTTTATGCTAGTAAATATCATATATGTGGTACTTGTTAATGCTTGTGTGTATCATATTTACAGCAATTGTTTATGCTTGTAACCATCATACATGCGACAATTGTTTATGCTAGTAAATATCATATATGTGGTACTTGTTTATGCTTGTGTGTATCATATTTACAGCAATTGTTAATGCTTGTAACCATCATACATGCGACAATTGTTTATGCTAGTAAATATCATATATGTGGTACTTGTTTATGCTTGTGTGTATCATATTTACAGCAATTGTTAATGCTTGTAACCATCATACATGCGACAATTGTTTATGCTTGTAAAGTCTTTATTTACAAATATGTAAACATCTGATTGCGTAAAGGTATATTGTTCTTCCAGTGATAAATGCAGACATTCAGTGAGTGAGTGAGTGAGTGAGTGAGTGAGTGAGTGAGTGAGTGAGTGAGTGAGTGAGTGAGTGAGTGAGTGAGTTTGACCAGTATTCCAGTTGTATCATGTTGTATAAATGTTGGAGGAAAGCCCGAATTGATGCAGGTGTCAGGAGTGTATCCACCTCGTGAAACCCACGAGCACGGGTAAGGTGCTGACGAACCTGGAAACATATTCGGGGCGAACCGGTTTCCAACCCACAATCATAGGTGTCTGGGGTACCTAAGGGACGCAACTCTGCATAGCGAAATGCGGCGCCTTAGACGACTTGGTCTCCTGCACACACGCACGCACGCACGCACGCACGCACGCACACAGAGGAATCTACAGGTAAGATAAAGACCAACAGGTTTTAACTGTTACGTGCTTTGGCTATTTTCAGAGACTGGGAGTCCTACAATCGATGCTACAGAGAGACGTCCGTTGTCTGTCAAGTTGACCACTATGCAGAATTCGACATAGCAATGAATAAGAAGATTGCAAACTGTGACAGTCAATGCTTGACTGTTTTGTGTAGGTGAACATATGACAAACGAGAAGACTCTAATTACAGAAATGCTGGGTGGGTTACTGCTGGGTGGACCACTTGTGGGTGGGTCACTGCTAGGTGGGTCACTTGGGGGTGGTCACTGCTGGGTGGACCACTTGTGGGTGGGTCACTGCTGGGTGGGTCACTTGTGGGTGGGTCACTGCTGGGTGGACAACTTGTGGATGGGTCACTGCTGGGTGGACCACTTGTGGGTGGGTCACTGCTGGGTGGACAACTTGTGGATGGGTCACTGCTGGGTGGACCACTTGTGGGTGGGTCACTGCTGGGTGGACCACTTGTGGGTGGGTCACTGCTGGGTGGGTCACTTGTGGGTGGGTCACTGCTGGGTGGACCACTTGTGGATGGGTCACTGCTGGGTGGACCACTTGTGGGTGGGTCACTGCTGGGTGGGTCACTTGTGGATGGGTCACTGCTGGGTGGACCACTTGTGGATGGGTCACTGCTGGGTGGACCACTTGTGGATGGGTCACTGCTGGGTGGGTCACTTGTGGGTGGGTCACTGCTGTGTGGACCACTTGTGGGTGGGTCACTGCTGGGTTGATCTTTACTAACGGTCCACGTGCTCAGACTGATACACGTACAGTGACTGATCATGCTGACCCGTGAAGATCCGGGGTAGAATAGGTCTTCAGCAACCCATGCTTTCCGTAAATGCCGACTATGCTTGTCATAAGATGCGACTAACGGGATCGGGTGGTCAGGCTCGCTGACTTGGTTGTTGTCATCGTATCCCATTTGCGTGGATCGATGCTCGTGATGTCAATCACTGGATTGTCTGGCCCAGACTCGATTATTTACAGACCGCCGTCATATAGCTGGAATACTGCTGAGTGCGGCGTTAAACAACAAACAATAACAATCTAATTACAGAAAAATGATTATATCTTATGTTGGGAAACTTAACTATGTTTTCCATTATAGGAAATTTCAGAAATAGTTTTTCAAAACAGCGCGTGGTGGGTTCGAATACAAGGTTTTGCCCTGATTATGACCCTTGGTGGGTCAACACCATATTAGTGCTCATGTGTTCCGATGTGGCTATCTTCCACGCCTTGATATGCTGAAATATTTAAACGATATTTATATTTATATACAACGGGGAGTGAGTAAGAATGAAATTGGCAGGTTTAGTGAAAGTGAGATTCGAAAAAAAATCCTGTTGATGTATTGAAGCCCTCATCTGCGATTGATTTATTTTGGTGTCATATTCAATGGAAACATATAACTCTCTTCTGTAGCTCGTAGCGAGTGTGATGGCTTTGGCATTACGACTACTACTTCTACAACTGCTACTACCACCACTGCTACTACTACTACCACCACTGTTGCTACTACTACCACCACTGCTACTACTACTACTACCACCACCACTCCTACTACTACTACCACTACCACCACTCCTACTACTACTACCACCACCACAACTACAACAACTCCAAAACCGAGAACAGGTGACTTTGTTTGTTAACAGCCAAGTAAACAGTTATTTGTTTGTTAACAGCCAAGTAAACAGTTAACGAAAGTTCATAGTTCATAAACACACTCTTAAGCCAAGTCTTAATCTCCGATGTCTTCACTAACAAAATTATCCAAGCAATGAAATTAATTCGGAACATCATCATGATAACATTATCTCGGTCAACGCAACAGTGGGCATTTCAAGTGTATTCCCACCAATACTGCATAGGTTTTTAAGGTGCGACAATGTTGGGCGAATGTCATTTTGTCGATGTAGACGCCACATTCTTTTCTATAACCTGCATTTCATGGTAGGGCAGGGCCGGACCATAAAACATAGCAGGGCTCAATTTGAAGGCGCGGTCACCAATCCCACTATTGTTTGACAGGATTAAATCACCCCCTTAAACTTCACTCTTAAGTGATTCTGTGTGAAGCCCATTTCTGGTGTCCCCCGCCGCGATATTGCTGGAATATTGCTAAAAGCGGCGTAAAACCATACTCACTCACTCACTCACTCACTTAAGTGATTCTGTTCTTAGCTAGAAACATTCTATAAAGACCTGATTCTAGAACTGACACACTCTGAAGTGAAATTATCAATTCCCTGTCAGGATCAAAACACTCCCTTCATGACATAATCAATCCCCCTTAGGATCAATCATTCCCCCTTTCCAAAACCCCGGAAGAGTGAGTGAGTGAGTGAGTGAGTATGGTTTTACGCCGCTTTTAGCAATATTCCAGCAATATCACGGCGGGGGACACCAGAAATGGGCTTCACACATTGTACCCATGTCGGGAATTGAACCCGGGTCTTCTGCGTGACGAGCGAAGGCTTTAACCACTAGGCTACCCGACCGCCCCAAACCCCGGAAGAATGCAAAATAGACACAAGGGGTACAAAATGCCACAGTAATTATCAACAGGGGTCGTGGTTTAAGTTTTATGACCAGTATACATATGTATGACTTGTCCGCCGTGCACATGAACATGTTCCGCTTAAGTATCAGACACGAATGGCTTACATTTGTATACATCCATGTACAACGTTCTGTATACTACTGGGGGCACGGGTGGCCCAGTCGTCTAAGGCGCCGCAATTTGCTGTGCAGAGTTGCGTCCCTTGGGCAAGCCAGAAACCTATGATTGTGGGTTCGAATCCCGGTTCGCCCCGATTATGTTTCTAGGTTTGTCAGCACCATACCCGTGCTCGTGGGTTTCACCGAAGCGGTAAACGTTTGAGACCTGCATCACTTCGGGCTTTCCTCCCACATTAAGCTGACATGCCGGGATATAACCGGAATACTGTTAAAAGCGGCGTTAAACCCTACTTACTCACTCACTCACTCACTCACTGTATACTACTAGTATTCAACACCTTGTTTACTATTTCAGAGGGCTCGACCATGTCCGGTGGGGGAGGCTCGAGCTGGTTGGGTGGTTCCGGTTCCGGTTCCGGTACTGAAACGAATACAGCAACTGCAGACAAGTCGAATTCATCTACCGCGGGTAATTACTATATTTCAGTTAGCTCTGTGTACTGGGTTCACGTGGAACTTGTGATAAACAAACTGTTTCGTGTCAAACAGTCCAATTTCAGTCAACATGAAGTTTAGTTACACTGTTATAGGAGATTGCCAACATGTGGTCAAGGTTCTTTCTGTCTGGTTATTTCACACAAACTATTATGATGGAAGCCATGTGATCCTTGTGGTAACCAGCAAAAAGAAATTAAACACGGCGGTGTGCTGACGAGGAATCCAAATTCCTTCTCTCTCAATCACTCTCTCTCTCTCTCTCTCTCTCTCTCTCTCTCTCACACACACACACACTTTCTCCTCTCTTTCTCCCTCCCTCCCTCCATCACTCTCTCTCTCACTCACTTTCTTTCTCACTTCTCTCCTTCTCCCTCTCCCTCCTCACATTCTTTCTCTCTCTCACTCTCTCTCCTCACTTTCTCTCTCTCTCTCACACACACACATACACTTTCTCCTCTTTCTCTTTCCCTCCTTTTCTCTCTCACTCACTTTCTCACTTCTTTCCTTCTCCTCTCTCTCCTCACTCTCTCTCTCTCTCTCTCTCTCTCTCTCTCTCTCTCTCTCTCTCTCTCTCTCTCCGGATTAGCATGGTTTCACCGTGCATGTTTGTCCGGTTCCAGATGCTGCAAAAGATGACAAAGTCGAACCCACCGAAGCTACAGCTGCTGTTGATGTCTTTGCATCAGCGCAAACAGCTGATAACGCCACTAAGGGCAGCGACGGCGATGACAACAACATCTTCAACTTGATGAACATGCTCGGGAGCTCCGGGGTGTGTCTGAAAGCAGGGTACTTGGTGGCACTTTTTGTCATCGCTGTAACAACCTGCTTTAACTAATGACTAACAAATGACGCGTGGCTCAGGGGTGAGAACTCCAGATATCGCTTCTAATGGTCACAGCAACCATGCCTTCCTCCATGTCACAAGTTCTTGAAATAAAAAAAATTCATCTTTCTTTGTCCTTTTCTTTTTCCTGCATTTCAATACCAGTATTGACATTTTAGTTTAAAGAAACATAACAATTATATTAAACATGGCTGTTTAAATACTAGGAAAATTAATATGAAACATGTATACGTCCTTTCCTTACGCCAGCAGGGGCGGTGGGGTAGTCTTGTAGTCAAAGAGATCGCTTATCACGCCAAAGACCCTGTTTCGTCTCCTCAAGCTGGCACAATGGTTCACTGAATACAGAAAGTCCACCAAGTGGCGTAAAATCATCATCTTTGCCGCGATGTGACCATGAGACATTTGCATGCATTGAACATCCATGTGCACACAAGTAATCTTAAACCTCCAGTGACGTCATTCTATTGTCCTTCAGTCGGGTGAAATCTCATTAACAGGATGTTATAATATTCCCGTGTTTTTATTCATACAACTTCCGGTCAGTTTGTAACATATGAATATTTCTCGCTAGAAATTTATTTTGCATTGTAACACAATGTAATGAAATATAAAATCAAATGACAAATGTTTTCTTTATATTCCCGAGGATCGAACACTGAGCCTTCGTGGAGGAACTGATCAATCACAAGGCTTTTAAGAATATCTTTTTCAAGTACCATATGCCAGCGACAGATATTTTACGCCCGTTTCCTAAGGTTCATGGAATGTTTGTTTGAAACATAAAAATGTCAACTTCCCGAGACAAGCGTGTCCACCAGCCTATATCAAAGCCTAGTTTCTACCCTTGCCACACCAAGGCCACTTTTCGTTGCTCACGAGTTGTGTCCCTTGTAATGTGCGTATCTCGTATAGCTTCACAAAGATGGCGACTACCATAAGCGACGACCTTGTCGATGAGATAACGCGATTTCATCCCTGACAAAAAAAACATAGACAAGACATATTCGTGTCAACAATAGCGGTAAATCACTTTCATACATACATGTAGGTGTACCAGTTGGTGATGCTGATTTTGTGAAACGTTCTCTGATTGGACTATCGATAAGTGCGATAGTCCAATCATATTTAGCACAGGAAAGTTGGCTTGATGTGTCACGGGTGGGAATGGGACTTTGATAAAAAGGCTAGTGGACGCTCTTGCCTCGAGAAGATGAAAAATGCTGAGATATGTTGTTTTAAGTTTCATTTTCCGGTTTATAAATGAGATAAAACACTTCCTCTTTGGTGTTAATGATATTTAAAACCGTTATCCTTGGGATAAAACCTCGTGGCTGCCACCCCACGGTTTATAATATTTAAAAAAAACCTCGGACGTGCTGTACCCTACACATGAAGCTCTTTTCCTAAGGCTTGTACAATTGAATCTAACAAACAAAGGAAAATAAGATTAAAACAAATAGGTCAGGCCACAACACGGTACATTGTTTCACCTGTATATTTTCGTTTTCTGTCGGGGGCACGGGTGGCCCAGTCGCCTAAGGCGCCGCGTTTCGCAAGCCAGAAAACCTATGATTGTGGGTTCGAATCCCGGTTCGCCCGATTATGTTCCTTGGTTTGTCAGCACCATACTCGTGCTCGTGGGTATCACAGAAGTGGTAAACGTCTGAGACCTGCATCACTTCGGGCTTTCCTCCCACATTAAGCTGACACGCCTTGATGTAACTGGAATACTGTTAAAAGCGGCGTTAAACCCAACTCACTCACTCACTCGTTTTCTGTCAAGAGTAAGGCTGTACACCTACATTCCTCCAATACACGTAATCGCATATTATAATCATCTTGATGGAGGAGAGGGTAACGCACGTTTCAGCAATATTCCAGCAACATACGAGGGAAGACAGTAATAATAAGCTACGCATATTACACCCGTTTTGGAAATGGATTCAGTGTAAACAACGGATGCTCTAATACTAGGCTACTCCATCTTGCCATCTACCTACAGGACATCGTACCTTTTCATTACCTTAGTAATACGTTAGGGAGTGTTTGACGAACAGACCCGTGAAGATCAGGTTTAGAATAAGTCTCAGCAACCCATGTGTATCGTAAGAGGCGACTAACGGGATCGGGTGGTCAGGCTCGGTGACTTGGCTGATGCATGGCATCGTATCCCAATAGCGTAGATCGATGCTCCTGATGTCAATCACTGGAGTGTCTGGTTCAGAATCGATTATTTACAGACCGCAGTACGGTCATATCTGGAATATCGCAGACGAATGTTTTGCTTAAGGAACGACCACTTGCTATTCGGGGTGGATAGGTGTGGGTGGCGGGGATTTATTTGAACCAACAAAATTGATACAAAATAAATTGGTCGCTGGATAATGCTGAATGTTCCCCCGCCGAATATTAAACGTGGGCCCCTAACCAAACCCGCTTTCTTCCCTAAATTGGTTACACTTCACAACATCATAACACCATGACTAACGTATGGACAAACGCCCAACGTACATTGTGTTTGTCACGATAGAATGGAGAATACATTATATTGTCACAGTAGAATGGAGATACATTTTATAAACCTACTCGTTTAAAAACCACAAGGTTACGAACATTTCTCTTGTACGACTCAGGTTAATATCCCTTTTTATAATTATGTTATTGTCAGTAAATATTTTTAAAGACCCCTGTCAACGATCTTTCTCCTAAAGGATACTTGTACCAGGTGAGCTACAGGGACGATGTTTGGCTTCCGAACATCCATGTTGCAAAATGTCCCGGCAAGACAACAATTTCCCTTAGATATTCCAATATTCTAAAGCAGGAGAGACTGGTATTCCCACAAAGATACCTGCAAACTTTGCAAGCTCCGTACCTAGGTTATTGTCAGGATTAAGCCAATACATTTACCCTGGGTAGCAGTTCATTGATGCACGATAGATCTAAGATGTCTTTTTCCTGTTATCATTTTCCTATAAAAAAAGGAAACTGCTTTTTCGTTGTTGTTTTTTTGTATTTTTTCGTTTTTTGTTGTACATCATCAGTTTTGAATTTCTCCATTTGTATTATGTGTGCTCCTTAAGTTAGTTTTGTCTGTCACCTTGTCTTCGTAACATTCTATTGTTAGGATTCACAATTTATTTGTTCATGTATGTGTGTCACTCTGATGTAAAAAGAATTCCCTAACGGGTAAAAAGGATCATCTAATTTTATCTTATCTTATCCTATCCTATCCTATCCTATCCTATCCTATCCTATCCTATCTTACCTACCCTACCCTACCCTACCCTACCCTACCGTACCCTACCGTACCCTACCCTACCGTACCCTACCCTACCCTACCCTACCCTACCGTACCGTACCCTACCCTACCCTACCCTACCCTTACCTTACCTTACCTTACCTTACCTTACCTTACCTAACCTTACCTTACCTCACCTCACCTCACCTCATCTCACCTCACCTCACCTTACCTTACCTTACCTTACCTTACCTAACCTTACCTTACCTTACCTTACCTTACCTTACCTTACCTCACCTCACCTTACCTCACTTCACCTTACCTTACCTGTGTATAAATCGTATTCACAGTCTCCTCTCAATCTCTGAGTTACCATTCTTGTGAATGTCTGTGATTCCTAATGTTCAGAATTAAAAAATGGTAATTGTATACAAGAACTTGATAAAATAGATGTCAGGAATAATTTGACAAAATTACCATACCGGGCTCACTTCTTTAAAACATAAAACAAATACCAACGTGAGCATAACAACAATTGGCACATGAAGTTCCCAATACATGCTGAAACAAAAAGCGTTTGACAAAGAATGTCATATCTATAAACTGCAAATAACGTTTCACACAGAACAGAACCAACAGGCATTATTGATAATATTCTTCTACGATATATCACAGTGATAAATTGAATAAATGTCTGTGTACAGCATTGAGTGTCATTGGTACTTTTAGGAAAGAAAGGGTTAAAGTGGTTTGAATTCAGGCCGACCATCAACTCTTGACATGTCCTGATTTATTTGAAATCGATAGTTGTCGTACTTTATGCATTCAAGAAAATAATGATACGTTCTCATATTATGAGCTTCTGCAATAACACGCCAGCATAGCTGATGTTTTCTCCCAGTGGATGCTACTTGGAAACACATCTTTTTCCCGGCATCCCCGTGGAGGAACATGTCCTATAAACCAGACTGGAGGTATATGAAATTATAAATAAATACTTTTTTTATCATTGTTAATGTTGAAGTGTGATACATTATTTTTTATCCAACTTTTTTTGTTTTCTGTTTTACGTGTAGTTTAAATTTATAGATCAAATACGCTGGAAAGGGTCATAACTGTCAAGACTTATTGCAACATCTGTGTTTGCTTAGAACCGGTATTTGCATTGTATTTGCAATAGATGTATGGGCGTTAATAACAATATTAAATAAATGATAATATCCGCAATGCAAGTTTCAGGTATCCCCATCAAAGGACCAATATCACGGGGAATCTGATTAGGAACAGTTATCAAATCTTCCAATCATGTACTCGTCCATTGGGGCTTCTTGAAACATTTCCAAAACGTTTTCAGGAACGTGAACGTTTCCCCTTGGCTGTACAAACAGAAATAGACAGTCGCGTCATTTTATGAGACATCACAATATCTACTACTATTTTCTTTATAGAATTAAAATAGGGGTTATGTTTAGAATATAATGTGTTTGAGTAATTTTCATCGTGAATGCCAACCAAAAATATTTGCGTTGGTCGTGGATACGTCATGATGTCGAGAAAAACAATATTATGTTTATATTATATTTTTCTGTAATTTACACCAGGTATTTGGAAAGGTTGGTATGTTTATCTAAATTCGTAACGCTTTAACACCAGTGAGCATAAGAAAAACCAAATAGGAACAGGACAATTGTTATGATTTTCAATTGGAGTTGGTGGGGGTTGTATCGGATTTTTGGCCCCAAATTTCAAGTAGGTAGGTCGAAAATATGAAATATTTTTTGTTAAGTTTAGCTCGCGATTCGTCATAGTTCGTTGTGTTTTGAAGTTGTTAAGATACATTTTCAACAGGTTATTATAATATAGCA